GGTGTCTTAGATTTTCTTAAACAGATTTTTTCAATGATTTATTTTAATTTTATTTCCACTGGTATTTTGCCTGCATGCATGTCTGTGAAAGGGAGTCAGAACCCCAAGAACTGGAGTTACAGACAATTGTGAGCTGCCATGTGAATGCTTGGAATTGAACCTGAGTCCTCTGGAAGAGCAGCCAGTGTTCTTAACGGTTGAGCCATCTCTCCAGCCCCTTCTCAATCAGATTTAAAATCTATCACCAAGTATTTTTCTAAATGATGAAGGGCTAACTATCTAAATAGATTCAGTTTAATACAGAAATGACATGGTAGCCTAAATTATTAAGCTATACTAAATATATAAAACATTATGGAATCTTAGCTCATTGTGACGGTGAATGACTAGAACATTAACATTTACAAGTGGAGGCAGGAGAATGCATTCAAGGTCACTTATATGTCATTTGAGGCCAGCATGAGCTATGAGACCCTATCTCCATCATCACCAACATCCTAAAAAGGAAAAAAAAAAGACACTTGTTCTATAAAGGTTAGAAAAATTCAGCTAGTTCATTCTAGTAACCCCAGTCCTTGGGAGGCTGAGGTAAGAGAACTATATTTCAAAGGCAGTCTGAAAAACATAGTGAGTTCCAGTAGAATGAGACTATCTCATCAGGTCCATCACAGTAGCACATGCCTTTAATCCCAGATGTTAGGAGGCGGAGAAAGAGGCAGGTATATCTCTTTATGAGTTTAAGGTCAGCCTAACCTCCAAATCAAGCTCCAAGCTAAGGATACATAGTGAAAATCTGTCTTAAAAAAACAAAAACAAAACCATAGACGCTATAAAAAATTAATTTTTTTTAGGCAACCACAAATAAACAACAGAGAAAACAAAGGTCAACTGTGCACTAAGGGATCTTTTTGTCAATGGCTCTCACAATACTTCTTTCCTTTCCACAAATTCATCCTTTTAGGACATAAACAGTTACGTCCTAACTACCCTTCTACATAGAAAGAAAGGACCACACAGGAAAACAGTGAATGACGTTTAAGTCAACATGATAGTTAACTGTGATAGTCAACCAGATTGGATTCAGAATTGACAGAGCAAAAGATAGTGGAGGCCACTCCAGAAACTCTGATATTATAAATGATCAACCCCTAGTGGAGTCTTAAAAAGATGTCATTACTGGGAGGTGAAGGAAGGCAGAAGAGAGGAACTACATAGAGTCCTGGAAGTATGTTCTACCATGTTGCTATGGTCTCTTTCTGTATGCCCATTTCACTACTTGCATCCTGTCTGCCACAAAGAAGTTCTTCTGTTAAATGTTCCCAAACCCAGAAACTGAGAGTTAAAATAAATAATCTGGGCTGGAGAGGCACATACAGACAAAACATCCATATACATAAAATAAAAACAAATCCTGAAGAGGGCTCATCTCCTATAAATTTTTTTTTAAAAAATCCTCTACTGTTTTGTTGTTACCAGATACTTGGTATCGATGACCACAAAAGAACATAAGCTTTCCTGCATCCACTAAGCTTTTTGACTTTTTTAAAAAACTTTTGAGGGCTTTTAAAAGTTGAATGAAAGAGCAAGTAAAGCACATGGGAGTTAGCTTAGCTTATCATTCTTATACCAAGACATTGTTCTTTATTCCTTTTTCACACTCTACCTAAGGGGAATGAAAACCCTTCAGCTAAAAACAGCTGGACTTTACTTTTAGAGTAGGTTCAGTAGTTAAGAGCACTGTTGGCTCTTTCAAAGAACCCAGGTTCAAATCCCAGCATCTACAAGGAAGCCCAAAAGCAGCTATAATAACTCCAGTTCCAGGGGATCTGATGTCCTCTTCTGGCCTCTGTAGCCATCAAGCATTCATGTAGTGCAGATACACACATTCAGGCAAAACATCCACACACATAAAGTAAAACTAAATATTAGGCTGGGCAGTGGTGGCTCACACCTTTAATCCCAACAACCGAGAGGTAGAAGCAGGCAGATCTCCAGGAGTTCCAGGATAACCAAGAATACACAGAGAAACTCTGTCTTCATAAAATAGTAGTAGTAGTAGTAGTAGTAGTAAGTAGCTAAATCTTTTTAGAAGTTTTTCCAACAAAAACAGCTAGCTGCACTTGATGGGTGGTGGTGGCGCACACCTTTAATCCCAGCACTCTGGAGATAGAGACAGGTGGATCTCTGTAAGTTTGAGGTCAGCCTGGTCTACAGAGAGAGCTCCAAGACAGGTTCCAAAGTTTCAGAGAAGCTCTATCTCAAAAAATCAAGAAGAAGCGGGAGAGGAAAAAAAAAAAAGAAAAGAAACACACACCAGCTGCACTCCAGACACAGCAAAGATGTGAGTGGTATTTTAAGTAACAACTTCTTAGCAAACTTTCTACTATGAAACACTCAAAATTTTTCTATGTCAAATAAGAGCTATGGCAAAGGCTTTGAACAGAGTGAGACAGCACTAACACATTCTTTGAAGTTTTAAAGACCCATACATTCATGTACTTTGTATTCTCTCTCCTTCCCCCACCACACCACTATGCCTAGCTTAAAAGTCCATCCAATCCATTTAAATTTAGTGTTTGTGTTAGTAAATACTATATTACTCCCTTCAAGAGATGTTTTATTGATAAATACAAAAAAAAAATCAAGCAATGAGAAGTTGGAATTAGCCAGGTGGTGGCGGCACAAACCTTTAATCCCAGCACTAGGGAGGCTGAGGCACGCAGGCAGATCACTGTGGGTTTGAGGCCAGTCTCTTCTAGAAACTGAGTTCCAGGATAGCTATTACACAAAGAATTCCTGTCTTGCAAAAAATAAATAAATAAATAAAAAGCATATTGCTATGGTTCTGCTACACTACTATCCCCTGCATTGAGAGGGGGGTATATCCCAATCTGCCTGTAACTGAATCCTCATTTGGTGCCCTCTCCTCATGATACTGATATGCTCTCAAAGCCCTTCTTCTCCAAGTTTCAGCTATAGAAAAAACTTGTTCTTCTTTCCACGCAGATTCAGGGTTTCCTTCACTCTGTATTTCACTGCCCTTTTTGTGTTTTGGAGAGTTAACTTGTGTGAGTCATCTGAGCTTAAGGAAGGAATAATATCTTTCCTTGTGTGGAGAATAAAACTGTGTCCTCAGTGGGTCCTGATAAGCTTATGTATGCAAAGTACTTAATATCTGCCTAGACAGTAGTTAACAAATGGTAGTTAGTACAGGTGCTTTGTGAATGTGCTGGTTTGTGTTCTGGTTGTTTGAATGAGAAATGTCCCTACAGGCTCAGGCATAAATGAACAGTTGGTCTCCAAGTGTACACTGTTTAGAGAAGTTATGAGAGGTTATGGGGAGATACAGCATTGCTGGGGGAAATAAGTCACTCTGGAGGCAGCTTTTAGAGTTCAAAGTTTCATACCACTTCAAGTGTGTTTCATGCCAAAGATAAAAGATGTGATCTCTCTCCTCTTCCTGCTCCCATGGCCTATGGTCATGCCTCTTCTACAATTATGAACTCTCCCTCCGGAACCAGAAGCTCAAATAAACTATCTTTTCCTTAAGTCACCCTTGCTCATTTTATTACAGCAGAAAACTAATAATACACTCAACCATGATGTCCAGGCTGACCTTGAATGATCCTTCATGCCTCAGCCTTCTCCAAATGCTGGGATTAAAGGCATGAGCCAACATACTCAGCTCTAGAATTTGACTTTTAACAAAGAATAGGTTAGAATCACAGGAATAGGAGAAGAGAAGCAGATTGATGCTTCCATATTTAATAGCTACCAAATCTAATAATTTTCTCTTCAAATCTTATGCTAGAAATAAAGTAACAAAGTTTTTTACCCAATAACATGCAAGGTTTATTAAAGCATGCTGCTCCAGTGACCGCAGGCAGGCAGAGTTATTAACACAAGGACCCCTATCAATCATTTCCTAAAATCCAGAGCCCAAGATGATGAGGCAGAAACTAGCTTTTCTAAGCATAAGAAAATTCAGAAAAATTCAAAGCAAAATCTTCTAACAAAATGAGCAAGAATCCCAGGACAAAGCAGCAGAAGCCTGTGACTACTCAATGTTGTCACAGAAGCAACCCAGGAGTGCTCAGTGTAAACCCAGCAAAGGAACTGTATTACTTCTGAATCTTCCAACCTAGCACAATGGCCAGACCAAATGGCATTCACTAAACCAAACAAATGTTATCTAATGGCTAGTACATGGGAAAAATCTGAAGTACAGCCATTCTCCCTACTCCAAAACATCAAAGTAGGTAGGAGAACTTTTAAGTACAGAACAACAGACAAACCCAGAGTTTTGCCCAGAAGGACAAGCAAAGTCACAAGCAAATGGCCTCTTATGAACCTATGCAGTCTTCAGCAATACATTTGAACAGTCTGCAGTATCTGTCCATCAGTATGAGTTCGGTCAACAAGCTGAACCTTCAGAAGTTGGGTATACTCCCCTTTTAAACAATGGCAACTCTACTTATCAATATAGTGAACAAATGCTTCTGGACGACTAGCTGAAACCTCTGCCTGTATCTGATCAGAAACCTAAGAAGCGTCCTGTGTTCACAATGGAGTCCTGGGTAATTTCTTTTTGAAAGGCACTGGTCTAAACAGGTAACTGACATCCTCTGATTATCAGCACATCTAAAACTCCCTTTCCAACTGTCAAAACACCTAGCCACTGAAAAATGAGATAAAAGAATACTTGATGAATATAAAATTAAAATGTTTGAACACCACACATTACATCTAACTTATTAACTTACTTATTAATGTGTGTTCATATTTTGGTGCTTTGTTATTTAAGTAACTGGACTAAGTTAATAGTCATTCTGTACCAGTAGTTTTGACACAGCTCTCCAGCATCCTATTCCTACTGTGAGGATGGCAACAAAGAAAAGCAAGCACATATTTCTAGAGACTAGATTCAGACACATCTAATCAAAGACAACTCCAAGATTCCCTAAGAAGCTTCCCACTTTCAACCACACCAATTCACTTACCTCGCCCATAGCTCTTCCTTCCAGAGCAAGTGCTTGAAAATCATGGTTTAATTCATCCATTGAGCGTACCTAGTGTTCAGAATAAAGGGGAAAGTTTCACGTCAGCATCATAAATGTTATATATCTATCATGCACAAATGAAACATCTTTCAATATTATCTTTAAGAACTCAACAGGCATGGTAACAAAACTCACGGGATTAAGTATCTACTCACCTTTAATCATCAGGATTCAGAAATGATCCCTGCTTTACCCTACCAATTCCTGTCTATTTTCAAAGCATAAAAACATGACGTGACAATAACCTCAGTTACTTTTCACATACTTTAATAGGCAGAGGCCAATATGCTGGACAGCAATGGGATTCAGTGGCGAGTCTCTGACCTAAAGTCAGCGGCGCTGCACCTCAGCCTTCAGCTGTCAAGTATAAATGAGGCCAGTCTGAACTAGTCTTCTTGGATCGCTCCAAGGTACCAGTCTATAAACTTTACAGGGTATTCAAACATCTATCCACAGAAAGCAGTCCCAGGAAATCCCAAATCTCAAAAAAGGGAGAAAAGAAATAGCATAAGTCACAAGAAACCTTCCTCACAGCTCATTAAAGCATATCTATATTCAACTTTAAGCTTTCATTTAACCAGCTTCAAAGTCATTAACTGAACGATAACAGTGGATTAAGGCACTTTTTACTGAGTTTGATGACCTAGTATGACCCCAGGACCCACATGGTTCAACAAAAGAACTGACTCCTACAGATAGTTTTCACATGCACATACACACATACAATAGTAATGATAAAAAAAATTTTTTTGAGACAGGGTTTCTCTCTGTAGCCCTAGATGTCCTAGAACTCACTTGTAGACCATGCTGTTTTCAAACTCACAGAGACCTACCTAGCTCTGCCTCCCTAGTGTGCCACCACGCCAGACATTTTTTTTAAAAAAAAGATAGCATTAGCAATGAAGACAAGACATGAGAATAAGTATTCAAAGTTGTCTTCTCCATCAAGCTAGAAGCCAAAAGGCAAAATGATGGCAAGTTCTAAGTCACTGTAAATTTCACAGAAAGACTGTGATTCAAAACAGCAAAAGCCCTTTGCCATCTGTTGGTCTTCTCAATTATTACCAACAATCTATCTCTGCCTTCTGAGGCACTCTAGAGTCAGTCATCCATGAAAATATTTATGAAATAGGCATTTCTGCACATCTGAAAACAAGACACCTGAAGCAGGAGCCTCCTAAACCTACTGTCCTGTAGGCCACCACCTTCCCAAGGTTGGTGGACAATTTCTAGGATAAATAATTAATACAAAGGTTGAGCTAGTCAAGAAAGGACAAAGATAGCACTTAAAACCCAACTTAAACCAGGTAGTGGCAGCCCATGCCTTTGAACTCAGCACTCAGGAGGTAAAGGTGGAGTGAGGTGATCTCTACGTGTTCCAGGCCAGCCTGGTCTACCGAGTTAACTTCAGGACAGTCGGGACTACACAGAAAAACCCTTACCTCAACATAAAGCCAGCTACACTGAACCTTATGGAAGAGAAAGTAGGAAGTACACTTGAGCGCATTGTCACAGGGAACCACTTCCTAAATATAACCCCAGTAGCACAGACACTGAGAGAAACAATAAATGGGACCTCCTGAAGCCAAAAAGCTTCTGTAAAGCAAAGGGCACAGTCAACAAGACAAAACGATAGCCCACAGAATGGGAAAAGATCTTCACTAACCCCACATCAGACAGAGGTCTGATCTCCAAAATATACAAAGAATTCAAGAAATTGGACACCAAAAGATCACATAATCCAATTTTTAAAAAAAATGGAGTACAGACCTAAAGAGAGAACTCTCAACAGAAGAATCTAAAATGGCTGAAAGACACTTAAGGAAATTGTTCAACATTCTTAGTCATCAGAGAAATGCAAATCAAAACAACTCTGAGATTCCATCCTACACCTGTAAGAATGGCCAAGATCAAAAACACCGATGACAATCTAAGCTGGAGAGGTTGTGGGGAAAAGGGAACACTTCTGCGTTCCTGGTGGGAATGCAAGCTGGTACAACCCCTTTGGGTGTCAGTGTGGCGATTTCTCAGAAAATTAGGAAATAACCTTCCTCAAGACCCAGCAATACCACTTTTGGGTACATATCCAAAGGATGCTCAATCGTGCCACAAGGACAAGTGCTTAACTATGTTCATAGCAGCTTTGTTTGTCATAGCCAGAACCTGGAAACAACCTAAATGCCCCTCAATGGAAGAATGGATAAGGAAAATGTGGTACATTTACACAATGGAGTACAACACAGCAGAAAAAACTAACGACAGCTTGAATTTTGCAGGAAAATGGATGGAACTAGAAAACATTATTTTGAGTGAGGTAACCCAGACACAGAAAGACAATTATCACATGTACTCACTCATAGGTGGTTTTTAAACATAAAGAAAAGAAAGCCACCCTACAAACCACAATTCCAGAGAACTTAGACAACAATGAGGACCCTAAGAGAGATATACATAGATTTAATCTACATGGGAAGTAGAAAGTAGAAAAAGACAAGATCTCCTGAGTAAATTGGGAGCATGGGGACCTTGGGAGAAGGCTGAAGGGGGGGAGGGAAGAGACGGGGGGAGGAGAGACAGGGAGGGGAACAGAGAAAAATGTAGAGCTCAATAAATATCAATAAAAAATGTTTAAACAAAAACAAAAACTTTTCAGGGCTGGAGAGATGGCTCAGTGGTTAAGAGCACCACCTGCTCTTCCAAAGGTCCTGAGTTCAATTCCCAGCAACCACGTGGTGGCTCACAACCATTTGTAATGAGATCTGGTGCCCTCTTCTGGCCTGGCCTGCAGGTATACACGCAGACAGAATATTGTATACATAATAAATTAATTAATTAATTTTAAAAAAAACTTTCTTGTAAAAAGAAAAAAATTTTGAAAAACAAGACTTAGAATATTAGTTTGCCTGAATATTCACTATGTACCATTACAGTACTGCTGTCTATTGGGTACTTTAAAACCCATAGGTAACAAACTAGCAACTATTGATACAATGTATTATTAAGCTCTAACAAATTTATAGTGTTTGCTATAAACATAAATTTTATGTAACCTGTGTGATCCTAGCACTTAGACAACTGTAACAGAAAGTACAAGGCCTGAACTTTACCAAGCTGTACATAAACAGGGGCTGGAGAAGGGGCTCAGAGCTTAAGAGCACTTGTTGCTCTTGAAAAGGGCTTGGGATTCATTCCCAACATCCACGTGGTAGAACTCACAACCATCCAATTCCAGGGATTCAATGTATATAAAATTTTAAAAAGTTCACCTACAGATCACCAAAGCAAACAAATCAAATTTCTCACAGATGTATATTCAACTATTCAGGAAACCGTCTATTTACATGGGAACTCTATATGGTATGGTTGCTGACACCAGAACCCAGCCAAAATTCTTCCTAAGGAACAAAACTAATAATCAAATAAGAGATGTAAAGGAATCAAAAAAAAATGAAGGATAAAGATATAGGCTACATAAGGAATGTCTGAACTAGGTAATAAACCCATTCTCACCATCAAGGAGAAAAGCTGGCTGTCCTTGTAGTCAGTAGCAAGCTCATCCCACCAAGACTGAAGTTCCTAAATTGTATCCTCCGCTTCCTCTTTCTTCAGAAATTTGACTGGCAGGTTATGTTAATTTACTGCCTGGTAATTCCTTTTTATTTTATTTTTCCTGAGACAGGGTTTCTCTGTAGCTTTGGAGCCTCTCCTGTAACTAGCTCTTGTATACCAGGCTGGCTTCGAACTCACAGAGATCCACCTGCCTCTGCATCCCGGATGCTGGGATTAAAGGTGTGCACCACTACCGCCCGGCTTTGGTAATTCCTTTTTCAGGACTGCTAAATGTCTGAAAGACTTCTTTTATCCCCTGTCTTTCCACAAAAACACTTCATTTTATTTTGTGCTACTCGTCAAAACCTATTTTTCTCTCTCCACCCAGGGCTTTCTCTGCTTCTGCAGTATGGCTACTTCCTCCCATACAGACACCACTACCAACTCCTTTTTAAAATATTTACTTTTATCTTATGTGCAGGAATGTTTGCCTGCATGTCCACCCATGCATGCCTGGTGTCCTGAGTGGACAAAATGAGGACATTAGAGTCTCTGGAACTGGAGTTTCGGGTGGTTGTGAGCTATAGTGTGGGTGCTGAGACCTGAAACCAGGGCACTGCTAGCGCAGCGACAGCTCTTACTTGCTCAGCCATCCCCTTCTTCAGAACCCATGAAAGCCAACCTGATGGCACTCCTCTTCATCATCACCTACACTATGAGTTTCCTTTCCTCTTCTAGAGTCCAGAGTTTACTTCTGATAGGCCGAAATCTGCCTATCAGATGCTGCTCCCAATTAACCCCATAATTTAACTCATTAATTTGGTGTTTTGCCTTGCAAAATTAAATCATAACAAGTAGAGAGAAAATGAAAGAGAGAGTAATCCACAAAAGAAAAGGCCAAAGTACTACTTTACAAACTTTTGCGCTTTTCTTTTGTTTTTTGGTCCCCTCCCCCCCTCCCTCACACACCCCAAGACAGTTTCCTCAGTAGCCCTGGCTGTCCTGGGACTCTGTAGACCAGGTTGGCCTCAAGCTCAGAGATCTGCCGGCCACTCCCTCCTTAGTACCACCACTAAAATAATTTCATTTAAAAAAAGGTGGAGTGGAGGGAAGAGGCTAGAAAGACTACTCAGCACTAGCTGTTCTTGCACAGGACCCGGGTCTCAATTCCCAACAACCACATGGTAGCTCATAGTTCATAACTCCAACTCAGGGAATCTGATACTGATACCTTCTTAGAATCCTCACAGGGGCTGAGTGAGTACATGGGTAGCAATCAGACACACATGCAGGTAAAATATTCATACAATAAAAATAAATAAGTAGGCTGGGCAGTGGTAGCACACATCTTTAATCCGAGCACTCAGAAAGGAGAGACGGTTGGATCTCTTTGAGTTCAAGGCCAGCCTGGTCTACAGAGTGAATACCAGGACAGCCAGTGATACAGAGAAACCTTTCTT